CCCACATGATGGAAGGACAAATTCGACTTTCACAAGTGGTCTTCTGACTGCCGCATGCACACCCACACACGTACACACAAATGCAGTTGTAAGGAGGAAATTATAAAGAGTAAAAAGGTGCGAGACATACATGTGTGACATCTACGTTTAAATCCAAGAATAATGCTGGGTGGTGGTGGTGCACACCTTTAATCCCAGAACTTGGGAGGCAGAGGCAGGCAAATCTCTGTGAGTTCAAAGCCAGCCTGGTCTACATAATGAGTTCCAGGACTGGCTCCAAAAACTACAGAGAAACCGTGTCTCAAAAAGAAAAAAAGAAAAGAATAAAACAGACTGACTTCAAGCTAATTAATTGTAAAATATTGTCTTCTTTATTGAACGTTGGAGATACTTCATAAACTTTTTGCTGCTTTTTCTAGCAGATGGTAAGTGTCTTAAGCACAAGGTTATCTTTTGCAAGGACAGTGCACATATTCTGGTTGTATGTAAAATTGATTCTGAGAACTTTCGCAGACCCATACACTAACCCTTTCTATACCTCTCAGTGGTTACCGTGTGCTTCTTTAGATCTGAAAGTTACACTCTAATGGTTTCTGCGCCCTTGTTTCTGCTCAGCTGACAGTGTTCTGGAATCAGCCCCTAACCATGCTGGAGTGGGTAAAATACTCATGTGTTGTCCTGCCTCATCTAGACTGCTAGAGATGCTCAAGAGTTTCTCTCTGGAGTTTATCTCCAAGTTTCCTAGGTCTCAGGGTTCGAACCATTCCATGATCTGCTCCTCACGTTTCTCTCGTGCTGTTCGTGGGGTTTTGTCAGCTGAAAGCTGGCTGGTGGCATGCGGGGTAGGGCTGGTCTAGAATGGAGACCCAGCTACCTTCTGGTGCGTCACTTCACCCTACAGACAGACAGTGCATCTCACACAGAGAGTAGAAATTGGTTTTCCATCAACCATAGAGCTGGTTGTACAGATTTCATATAACTGGGCAATATTTTGAGGGTTGTTCAAGGTTTAAGGACTATTACTTAACCAAATTATACACTACAGTATACAAATACAATCTCTATAAAAATGTATTAAAATGAATAGGTCTTGAGATCTGAGCAGGGAGTAGTCTATCATTAAAGAAATGCATTGCCAATGCTTATGAGCATGCAGAATAAACATGAGTGTCTCAAGGGCCGTGAAGCCATGGAAGGGAAGAACAGACTTCAGTGCCCGCGTTTCCTCATGAAAGCGTTCTTCGGGAAACAAGTAGGGGCTTTAAAAGTGCTCAGAACTTTCATCTTCATAAAGAGTTCAGATACTCGGTAGCTTTCTTGTTTAAACCCTTTGCCTCTGGAGGGAACGGGGTAGAAATGGCACCCAGGCCTTCCTGGTCTCCAGGCAGCGGCATCTGAAGTCTGTGAGCTCTGTCCTGCTTACGAACAGCCTGTGGGGGTTAATGGCTGGGAGGAATAAAGTGAGCCCCATGAGGCATGTCACTCTTGAGGGGACAACACTCAGAAAATAATTCCCTTCCTGCCTTGTTCTGCTAGGCTATTCTACGCAGCACTTAACAAACACGTATTTTAACATACCACACTTTATTTTGTATGCATCTATGTGTACATGTATATATGGATTCGCTTGCCTGCAGTCGTGCTTCTGAAGGTCAGAGGTCAGCACTGGGTGTCTCCTTCTGTCCTTCTCCACCTCAGTTTTTTAAACAGGTTCTCTCAAGAGTCTGGGACTTACTATTTTGGCTAGACTGGCTGGCCAGTAAGCTCCCAGGGTCTGCCCGTTATACCACCCCCACCTCTGGCAGCAGAGTTACAGACATGTTCTGCCATATAACGGCATCTTACATAGAAGCTGGGGATCCGAACTCAGCTCTTCAAGCCTGCACAGTGATCACTTAACCCATGAAGCCATCTCCACAGTCACGCTTGCACAGCGTTTTAAGAATAGAGTCACTGTGGGCGGTGAGTAAGTCATCTCACTTCGAAGGCCGGCGCCAGAGTCTGGTCCACCAAATACCTTCTTGGGGTAACACTGGCCTCAGAACCGAGTAACCCTTTGACTATGCATCATCTATGTTCTCTCTTTCTTCCTCTCCTGCCTCCTTGTAGCTGCCTGGCCTTGTCTCTGCTGCCTCCATCTTTTTCTGCTTGTTATTCAAAAATATGCTCTGTCCTCAACTTTGAGACCTGATAGTCTTTTCACATTGCCCTCTCCTCTCAGATCGGCCCTTAGTTGGCTTTCAAGTTTCTGGGTGACCGCAGCTAACCTTCCCCCAGTGGGTCAAGGATCTCTAATTAGGAGAAAGAAGTGGCTCCTCTCCTGGTGGAGAGAGCAGCTGCCACTCCTATCAGAGCCTGTTCTGGTGCAGCCAGGGAAACGAGCAGGGACGGCCGCAGGGGCCGGAGCAGCAGACCCCATAAACAAGTTCAGTTCTTTAACCTCCCTGTGGCGTCGGTGTGCCTGTGGTTAGGGGCGAATGGCCATTAGCTTTACGTTGGGGCTTCCTGGCTTTGTGAAGTCTGATGACCCAAACGTTCTGTGATTGTGTTTGGGCTCTGTGCGTTTCCCAGTTTTTACAGGGGTCTGTTTAAAGGAACGAAGAGGGATATTAAATATTTATTTTGGCTGACAAGATAAAGGAGAGCTGCTAGTGGGAAGATAACTGGCAAGTCTGAAATCTAGGCTTGTTTGTCTTCCAGAACTTGCCCATTGTCTGCCTTTGAATGGACGATGCAGTAATTAGATAAAAACATCTTATTATGAGGCTAGTTATAATATTTACTTGGAGCATTTTGATGGAAAGATCCTAATCGTGAAAGGAAATGGGATTCCTCCAGGAAAGAGAATTATCTCTTTCTTAGAAGGCCAGTGGATTCAGTATTAAGGGTTTCTAGAGAATTCTACCTCTGCCCAGTCAGACTGGCCATCAATGACCCTGTAAGGCGGGCATCCTGTTGTCACTACAGTTCTGGCTCCCAGACAAAGTTTGAAATGTACCTGACTTACCAAGAATGCTGTATGTGTGGGGGTACAACCACACATTGCTCCTATCCTCATTCTCCCCAACTTCATCTCAGCTCAAGTGTCTTCGGGTGCCTGCTCCAGGGTCAAGGCTACAGTAACATGTCAATGGCCAGTGAGCCTAGAGACCAAGTGGGGGCGAATCCTCACACTATGGAGATGGCAGTTGGCACAAGTACTCAGCCAGCCTCTCACTAGGGAAATACAGGGCTGAATCAGCTGCACTTCAGCCTTTTGCTCAGTGGCACTAACCTTTGTGTGACAAAGACTTGGACCTCCTTCATCGTATCTAGTCAGAAAGCTTACCTCTTCTCTGCTCACATAATAGCAGGCACCATGCAAAACGGAAGGATAGGCTGCAGATTATGGTGGGCTGCTAGAGGTACTCACGTGTGCACATGCATGTGCGCATACATGTAAACATGCATTCAATGTGGTGGTCAACCATGCCCGAGGAAGGAAAGGAGATGGTTAGGGGTAAGGTGGCACTGGATTGGCAGATCTCGGTTGTGCCTTAGATGCAAAGAGGACATGAGATCAGTGCTTGCTCAGCCCGCACTGTGGCGGGGACGATAGGAGAAAGCGCAGGATGTGAGAGACAAGTGCTTCCTTCCTAGGGCCATTGCGTATGGTCTTCAGGACTCCTAGGGCTAAAGGAGTGGGAGGGGACTCTGGAGAAAGAGAGGCCACAGGCTGATCCTGCAAGAGTTAAGGCTTGCAGACAGGTGGAGAAGAGGCCAGGACCGAGGGTACATGGCACACTGCCAGTGAGCCGAAAAGTTGCTCGGGAGCAAAGACTGGACTCTGGCACACCCAGAACCTGGGCAGTTTCCTCCAGCCCAGAGAATAGCAGGTCTAAAATGACCTTTTAGAAGGATGGAGTCTGAGAGCCACATGCATGATTCCCATGTGGACAGAAGGAATGTGGAACAGCAACTTGTGCACATGGGGCTTTAGTTTTCCTCTCCTTGTCCTTAGCCTCTGCCCAGGGACACAGGACACAACCATGTCCAAAGGAATGTGCTTCCAAGTAGGATTATCTTAATGAGCCCATATCGTCAGCTCCGACTTGTGAGAGGCAGAACAAACTGGACGATGCACTCAAGAGAGAAAATGTGTGACATATCGAGATGGAGAAATAGTCGCAGGAATGACATGTGATACAGAAGGTGGCCACTACAGTGCTTCCGGAGCAGGCTTTCCTCACGCACATGTCTCCACACAGAGGCTTCAGTGCTTCTCCATGGCTCCCCTAGCCGGTTCCTACCCAAACCAGACACCACACAGAATGAACATCATCCATGCTCGGCACAGCCGTGCCCTGTTCCGGCCTTGCTGCTTGTTTATATGTGAGGATTGGTTTCCTGTTTCTCCCCCTTAGGAATTTCTGTCCTCCTTTCCTAGAGATGGGGAGAGGGGATCAAAGGAGCTGTTGGAGACATACCTAGGGTCACAGATGGCACCTGAGAAGCAAGGAGTGACGCCACAGCACAGGTGGCTCTCCCTGCCTGGCTCTTCCTTACCAAGCCATCTCCCCGCCTGGGCCACAGGAGTTCACTTAAACGTTCTTCAGCGTCTACTAGAATGTGCTCTAGCTGGGAGTCAGGAGGCCTCAGCTCTTGTTCCTCTCCTGACCTGGGCAGTTGCCTGAACATCAAACCACCCCTCTGCCCTCCTGGATTTCCACAAATTCTTCTGCATGAGCCGGGAAGTGGAGCTAGGTGAACCCTTCCTGGCCCCAGGACTTCTTAGATAGTAGGCTGTGTGTGCAGTGGAGTCCTCTGAGACAGGACTTCAGGAACACAGGAGGTGTGTGGTGGGAGGACGATCCACAGTTGCAGGCCCAGTGTGACGGGGTCTTGCTTGACCAGGGTATGAACTTGATGCTTTCTCGGTTGAGCTTCCGGAAGTCCCGCTTGCACGCTCTGTCAAGCTCATCTGGCCTTTCCTCCTCACCTGTTGGTTTCTTTTTCATCAGAATCATGGAACTGATTGGTTACCACCCCGAGGAACTCCTTGGCCGCTCTGCCTACGAATTCTACCATGCCCTGGACTCAGAGAACATGACCAAAAGTCACCAGAACTGTAAGTTTCCTGAGTACCTGTGTCCTTGTCGTCTGCCCATGAGGAGTATGATTAACAAGACACAGCCTTGGCCTCCCACGGTCACCGTCTTAGGTGGCACATGAAGTAGATGCCATCAGGATGGTCAGAGAGTCATAGCTGCCAGCAGCCTGTAGATGATTTCATGCAAATTAAGAAAAAGACTCTGATGTCCTCGTAGGCAGTCAAGTACCTCAGCATAGGGAGGGGTCTGGGAGAGTTCAGAAGGGAGTGGGCTAGCTCTGGATCGGTTGTAAGGGCAAAGGAGGGTGGAGCTAAACAGAGAGAGTGTAAAGGGGTGGGGCTGTCCAGGTAGCACAGTGTAAGCATGGGGCAAAGGCCTGGACCAAAAGTGTCCAGCCCAACCTCTCTCGTAGAACCATTGTGTCCTCACAGGCCACACATGACCTAGGTGGTACTTGACATGTGGCTGATGTAATGAGGCACTTATTTCTAAGTTGAATTTTTAAAGAATTTAGTGGCTTTTCTTGGCATGTGGTCACCTTCTTGGCCAGCTTGCCAAAGTAGTCTTCCCATGTGTAGATGCTCCGGGGTAATTTCTTGCCCTCTGAAGACTAGGAATTGACACACTTAATCTCTTCCCTAAGGGGTCTTGTTTCAGAGGGGAAAAGAGGCTGGGCTCCCTGAAGCTGGCTGGCCTCTGACCTCAGCATCTCTCACAGTGTCTGGGGCACCAAGTGAACGTTGACCTCACAGACAAAAATATATTTGGGAGAGAGAGCATCCGAGCATGACACTGGTACAGACAGGGTTGATGAGAGTGTGGGATAGGAGATTCAAATGGGTAAAACCCCGAGATGCTTCCCAGGAGCCATAATGACAACATAGGAAACAGGTCCTAGTCCCGAGTCTGTCTCCCTTTCCTCTGCCTCCCAGTCAGGACAGCTGGAGCTCAGATCCTCTAAGCAGCAACTCCACAAGCTGCGTACGGCATGGAGAGAGAGGTGGGGGGAGTTTGTCCCTGTTCTCCCTGTGACATTTGGGTTTCATCTGATCTAATAATACAGCAGGAAGCATTATGGTATCTCAGACAAGTCTCCCACTGTGATCTCTGGCAAAAATCCCCAAATACCCAAACACAAAAAGCCTCTATCCAACCCTACTCAGTGGCCCAGGAATGGCAGAAAGAGACCAGGGTGCTCCTGGAAGCCATGACTGTGGCCCAACTAGATTGTAGCCTTCTCTTGGAGGGTCCAATGCTTTTGTGCTTCCTAGGGGTTCCCCACTCCCATGGCTGGTTGGATGAGACACACAGCTCTACTCTGCCCAGCTCTGGCCTCGCTCACCAGCTCCTGTCTCAGAGTCTGCCTTCCTTCCTTCCTTCCTTAGCCTTCTAAGCCAAGGGATCTGTCAAAACAGGGAGGCAAGGACTTTTTTTTTAAGTATCTGGGATTGAATTGAATCTGAATTGAATTCTTGGAGGACAGTATTGTACTTGATCTTCTGGGGAGGGGTGAACAGACGGACACAGTAGAATGTGCCGATAGCTGCTAATATACTTCTCACCAGGCAGGCGTAGGAAAAGGCTCCTCCCTCTTTAGAATGCTCTGTTCTATAAAAAAGAGCTAGCCAAAAAGAAAAAAAGAAAAGAAAAAAAGTTGGTCCTATTGGTTTTGAGGATGACTCCTGGGGGAAATATGTTGGAAAAACTTTCTGGTTAGATGTTGTTTTTACTTAATCCGTATATTTAATCTCCCAGCACACATAAGATAACTCACGGTCTAACTAGGAAGCACAGACTCCGGGTTTTGTTTTTTGTTTCTTGTTCTGTGGTTGTTCCCCGGTGGAGTTAGGTAAAGCTGCCCTGAGCACAGAGGCCTCTGCTTGAGAGCACTGCAGCACGCTGAGTGCTGGAAACAGTGTCAGTTGAGACAGGAGTGTCCCCATCCCACCTCCCCCTGCAATACAGCTACACTCATCCCCGCCAAGGCAGAGGCTCAGGTTCGAAGCAGGTCTAAGTTACATGTCTCCAATCCATCCCCATGTGTCTCTCAGCCTGTACGTGTTTCCCACCAAAATGCCTGGAGAAGCTCAGTCCTCACGCAGATTTAGATAATTGAAAGTCATCATTTCCAAATGGATTAATAATTTATACATCTTTACTCTCAAAGGAGGGGCTGGAGTGGCTTCTCTTTGTTGTGCTCTTAGGAAAACAAGATTAAAGGCCATAAAAAGCCTATCTCCCTACCAAGTAGCAGGCCCCTCACCAAGGCTGGCATTAATGAGATGATTAGGATGCTGGTGTGAATTAGATTCTACTGATAGAGCAGGCCTTCGCCTGCAATTACTAGAAATGCAGTTACAACCTCTGCTTGGTGAACTGTTTCATCAAAAAGACTAAGAGCCTCGAATGTGGTTTGCATTAAGAACTGTCTAAATGAGTTAACTTCGGACTTGAAATTGTGCAAGAATTGTTTCCCTTGCAGCTAAGAGGGTCTCCATAGCACCAAAAAAAAAAAAAAAAAAAAAAAAAAAAAAAAAAAAAAAAAAAAAAAAAAGGTCAGTGGAAAAGACCAGAGTTCTTTTTGTTGTGCATGTCTTTCTGTTGGTTTAACCAAGTGGCCATAGCAGACTTTGCTTTCTCGCTGGTTTCTGGGCTCAGACATAATGTATTCAGGGAGGACTGATTGCCCTGGGAATCTGAAGACCCACTACCTGTCTCAACGCTGTCACTATTGTCTCGTGCATCGTGAAGTGAGTCAAGCCTTCCTACCCTGAGTCCTGAGTCTCCTCACGTTAAGAGGTGATTTCGTTCCTCCCTACAGCACAATATTCCATTGGAAAGATTAGATTAGGATGACTCAACCACTCTGAAAAATAATTTGGCTGTTGCTGATAATAAAAGCATGATCTTAGCATATAATCTAGCTAAACTTCTTGCTAAACTCTTGTGAGAAATGAGACGACATTCAAACAAAGATTTGGGCACAGATGTCTACTGCAGTGGTATTCACAACAACTGAGAACTCAAACGCCCAGATGGAGGGATGACCTAGTTATGGTTTATCCATAGAATGAGGTACTATTCCCCCATGAAAAGGGAGGACACAGAAGAAACCGCCATCCAGTCAGAGGGACAACTAACTATGGTTTATCTATAGAATGAGGTACTACTCCCCCCATGAAAAGGGAGGAAGCAGAAGAAACATCTGCAATAACATGGACCTCAAAATCAGGCTGATCAAGTACAATGACATCATGCCCTTGAAATTAGTTTGAATGACCCTATAAAAAGTCTAGGAAGGGTAAGAGATGGTGACAGAAAAGTCAGGGATCAGAGGTTGGAACTAAGATTCGTTAGGAACATGAGCATTGGCTCTGAGGGAGATGGAGGGTTTGTGCCTTCGCTGAGGTGATGGCTACATAGGTGTCTACATTTGTCAACTCATTGCACTGTATGCTTAAAATGGGTACATTTCCATGAAGGCAAATGAAAACCCACTAAAGCTCGTTACAGAAAGGCAAAGAAAGGTGAAAATGGGAATCTAATTTTGACTCCTAAATCTGAGACTTTCGTGCAAGTCAGCAATAACGCTTAGCAAAGGGAAATTTGTGAGGGCTGCAGTCACTGCAGATGTGAAACAGGTGTTCACATGCTAATGATAACCCACACTGTCACTTGTCTTCACACTGGTTTCCAGAGGCACACTCTTTACCGGGCCCTGAGCTTGAATTCATCTCCCAAGGCAGCTTTGGACTCTGTGGAGCAATGCATATATGTAATTCTCAGTCATTCCTGCCCCCTTGCTGGTGCTGGTTAAGGTTTTCAAGAGGTTAAGAAGTGCCAAGACACAGGGATTATGATGAACATGAATAGTCTGTGTCTCTCTACCATGTGGGACCAATGAACAGGAAGATGGCCCACGAGCTGACCAGGAAACATGGGGAGATGCCTGGATGTTTTCCCACAGAGCCCCCTGAGACAGGGCCTGTAAACAGTTCTGAGCACTGTAACCCAAGCACTGGACAGTAGTAGCTTGGGAAAGAGGAGACTTCTAAACAACATCTGTGCGGCTGACGGGGCAGGCCAGTCCATCTGATGCTCAGCAGGAACCACGGTAGCATCCTGGACGGTTGATAACGACAGTGATGAACAGTACTATTATTCTTAATACCACAGTTTGCAGAGGAGGAAACCACACCAGGACTGTTCCTTCCCCCAAAGTCCCCCAGCCAGCAAGACTTCCTGATCCTCCCACCATACCTCTACCCAGTTCTCTGTGACCTGGGCTCTTTCTGGGCTCGAGCTCCAAACAATAAACTCCCAGGGGATGAAAGTCAAGTGGACAGTTTAAAAAGGCGAGCAGACGTTTCTAAGGGCAGCAGACACTAGCGAAAAGGAGCTCTTGAGCTCGCGTGAACAAAACTGGAAAATACATCTGGAGATGGGGAAGAGGACCCCTCCCCTGGGGTTTTTAGACAGTGATAACACATGAGAAAATGAACTCTTAGAACAATCTAGAAAAAGAACGAACTCCAAGCAGGTAGTCTCAGTGGGCAGTTGGGAGGCAAGTGTGAAGAACTCCCAGTGGCCGAGGAGGAGGAGGCTGTGAGAAGTGCTGGTCCTGGTTATAGGCCTTTCTTGACCCCAGCTGAAGGGTGCAGTAGTTTATCTAACGCTGTCCGCATCCCCTAAGCTGACAGACCTAACAAGTGCAAAGGTCATGATTTTTAAAATCCAGACCTCAGCTGGTCTCATGGCACAACCCCGAGTCCCAGTTAGTCTGGTGACTAAGGCAGAGGAATCATTAAGCTTAAGGCTTGCCTGGGCTACGAAGTGAGTTCAAGGCCAGCCTGACCAATTACAGAGACCTTGTGTTAAAATGAAAGCAGACGGTTTGGTTTGCAAGTCCATGGTAGAGCACTTGTCCAGCATGTGGGTGGCCCTCTGTCTGTCCTTCAGTCAGGGAATGGTGATGGGCCCGCATCCATGCAGCTGACCTTTCTCCAAGATGCATTCTAGCCCCCGCTGCCTGCAGAGGATGAAGCCCGTGAAGAAAGCAGGGTGCTGTTCTTGGCTATAGTTTCCACCGAGCTGCCTGGGAGTCTGACAGCAGAGAGTGGGTCATTCCCGCACTGGGCGGGCAGTGCTCTGCTTTCCTTTGCTAAAACAAAGGTCATGCTGACATGACCTCTAGCCTCGCTCCTAGCTCAGTCTTTCCAGTCCCCAGTGTCTATCTGGCAGCCCTGCCCACCCCACCCCACCCCTCCCCTGGCAGGTGATACTTCCTGTGGGACCTGAGTGTGTGTTGTGCACTGCTCCCCCACATCCCTTACCTCTGCCTCCTTTCTTCCCTAGTGTGCACCAAGGGGCAGGTGGTGTCTGGCCAGTACCGGATGCTAGCAAAACACGGAGGCTATGTGTGGCTGGAGACCCAGGGGACAGTCATCTACAACCCCCGCAACCTGCAACCCCAATGTATCATGTGTGTCAACTACGTCCTGAGGTGAGTGGCGGGGGGGGGGGGCACCAGCCTCCTCCGCTCTGGGCGCTACCTCTAAAAGCTGTTTGCTAGAGGGATCCTTCTGAGATCTTAGGAGGAGAGCTCTTGAGATTTCTAATCCACCTTCCGCCTTGTCTGTTATGGTGTCGTGTCTCTGACTGTGTTGTGGGGAGAAGATTGTACACAGTAGTTGCTTAATATTGTGTGAATGGGAAAGAGGAGAGCTGCTCATGCTTTTGGGGGAGACTCAGATGGTGTGCCTTCCCCCCACCATGCCTGGGAAGACACCAGAGGCAGCCATTGCTCGTATGAAGGAAACTGACATAGCATCCAGGCGCCTTGTGCACCAGCCGCGCAGCCATCTGAAGCAGCCCATGGGCAGAGGTTATTCTCATTGTCTCTGCCTCTGTGCCTAACAGACTTCGACTCTTTCCAAATTGCCAACAGTATCTCTGCCCATCTCTTTTGTCCGGGAGGGTTAGCTATCAGGCTTTCTACATATCTGGGGAAGCTGAAGGCTTTGGCTAGAAATCTGCAGAAACTCTGACCAGCTCTCTCATGCCGGTAGTGAGATTGAGAAGAACGATGTGGTGTTCTCCATGGACCAGACCGAGTCCCTATTCCGGCCCCACCTGATGGCCATGAACGGCATCTTCGACAGCAGTGGTGACGTGGCTGTATCCGAGAAGAGTAACTACCTGTTCACCAAGCTGAAGGAGGAGCCCGAGGAGCTAGCTCAGCTGGCCCCCACCCCGGGAGATGCCATTATTTCTCTGGATTTTGGTGGGTACTTCCTAGCCCTAGTTGAACTCTGGGCACAGTTCTTCTTATGACAAACCTCTGCAGCCGTACATTCGCTAGACCAGAGCCACACCCTGCCCTTGTGCCAATCACTTGTTCATGGTCAGGCTCTGCTGGGCACAAAAGAACCACAAACTCCCTGGCCACCGAGTTATATGTCCTCGTGAAGTGGTGGTGGGCTACGAGAAGGGTCCATTCTCCACCTGGCTGTGGGAGTCTGAGCTGAGGGAGAGAGGATTTTCTGGGTATATCCAGAGAGACGGTAGGGCCCCTCATGTATCATCTCAAAGAGGATGCCCTTATTTAAGTGGAAGGCTAAGGAAGGAATAAGGCCAAGAACACCCAGTGGGGAGAAAATCCAGGCCCAGGATGAAGTCCCCAAGATTGTCCACATTAGAATGGTCACCTGTCTCACTAGAAGCAAAGTTACTGTGGTCCAGGCAGAGTTCTCAGGTATTTCAACTTCTTGTTGTATATACCCAAAGACCTCTTCCAGTTCATACCCTCCCCCTAGCCCGATCCGGACTGTAGGTCTTTGCATTCACTCACCCCTTGATAACATGCATTTGAGAGGAAAATTGATACCTCACCGAATTCCAAAGGGCACTGAGCCCTTGCATGAGATACCTTGCAGCCCCAGCTTGGTGGTGACACTAAGGCAAATGGCCGCATTCTTTTCTGGTAACTTCCTCATCTACATTCTGGAGTGCTCTGCAGGGAGCAACTGCTTCCAGTAAGTTTAGTTGGTTCTGAAAGCCAAACGCTGTTAGAAATGGCTCTCGTTGTAAGGAGTCCCCATATTGAACCACAGCTCTGGTCAGCGGCTCTTGGGTCCTAGCTAGGCTCCAGGGTACAGAGGGTGTCAACCCCAGGTCCACTTTCAGGACTGTTTTAGGACTTTGTGAATCTTCTGGGCTTCTTCCTCCCTGGGCTGAGCCTCAACCTCACGAATGTCCACCATGCATGTCTTGTCTTTACAGGAAGCCAGAACTTTGATGAGTCATCAGTCTATGGCAAGGCCGTGCTGCCCCCAGGTCAGCCATGGGCTGCAGAGCTGAGCCACAGTGCCCAGAGTGAGTCCGGGAGCCTGCCTGCCTTCACTGTGCCCCAGGCGGGTACCCCAGGGAACACCACACCCAGTGCTACAAGCAGCAGCAGCTGCTCCACGGTGAGCCCCACCCTCCGGGGAGTAGGCAGAGTGGGAGGCTCTGCTCTGCTGCCAGATGACAGAAAAGACACCCTGAGAAGTACTGTCCCTCTCCCGTTATTGCAGTACTCCCTAAGAATGGCTGTGACACTCGTCCACCAGGGACTGTAGAGCTAACTGCTGCCTCCACTCCTAGCGAAGCAGTGACACCCGAGTTTGGTCTCTGCAGACAGAAGGCTTCAGTCACAGAGCCCTGTTGGCCACAGCCTCTATCCAATGTGCAGCTCCGGACACCCTAGGACAGCGGTTCTCAACCTGTGGGTTGTGATGCCGGGGGTTGAACAACCCTTTCACAGGGGTCACCTAAGACCACCAGAAAACACAAATATTTACATTACAATTCAGAACAGTAGCAATATTTACAGTTATGAAGTAGCAACAAAAATAGTTTTGTGGTTGGGGGTCACCACAACAGGAGGAACTGTGTTAAAGGGTCACAGCATTAGGAAGGTTGAGGATTCCTGCTCTAGGAAGTGATGCAAACATCTTATGAGGAGACCAAGGTTCAGAGCAGGTGATGAAGGGATCCACTTCATACCACTTGTAAATAGTAGAGCCCCCCTTCATAGATACGTGGTGGAATGGGGCAGAATGAGCCAGGAACCATGCTTATCTGTTTACACTGGACTTCTGGGGAGACAAACACCTTGTTCTTGACTTGGTCTGCTCCTCGGTTTCTAGCCCAGCAGCCCTGCGGACTACTACTCTTCTCTGGAGGATCACTTGAAGATGGAAGTGATTGAGAAGCTCTTTGCCATGGACACGGAGGCAAAGGACCAGTGCAACACCCAGGTAGGCTCTGCGTGGGCGATGAAGGCTCCTGCATCCCCTTGCAGAGGTCCCGGGGATACTGAGCAAAGCCTTGGGGACAGAGAGCTTGTCATCACCCTTCCTCTTGCCATCACCCTTCCTCCCACCTTTTCACTGCTCAGTCCTGCGCTTCTGTTTCTAACTCTCAACTTCGTCTCCTCCTTTCTTAGACAGCTGCCTTCACACACATGCCAAACTGAAACCACGCTATCAGACCTGTAGAGAGGCGTGTCCAGATTCTTCAACCAATGCATTTTTTAAAAAACCATTTCACTTTAAATACTTTAAAAAAAATGACAGACAAAGGTGCTCCTGAGTTGTATATTCAATGACAGTTTACTGCACAAGGTCACATGCTCTTGCACAAACATAAGTGGAGGAGGTGGGAGAACGTGGTGATGGCCAGCACGCTAGGGGCAATCCCTACCTCAGTCTGTCTCAGGCCCAGTTCTCCATCCAGGCTTGTAACTTGCTCCTCAGCGCGTGTCTCTTTTCCTGGGTGCGAACAGGCAGCATTGCTGCAGTAACAGTCTCTGGGTGCTAGTTACAGAGGTCTGTCTGTCTGCAGGGAGGGGTCCGTCCCCACAGCTCATGTCTCTGTTTATGAGTGTTCCACTGTGACAAGGGGAACACGATGCAGGGTCTCTGGGTACCTGCTGGTGAGGATGGCAGGCCCTTTACAGGACACGAGGGAGGGGAAGGTAAGCTGTCCTTCATCTCAGGAGCTCACATGTAGCCAGAATAGTATGAAGGGGCAGCCCATGCTGTGGAGGCAGGGGGCTTGCCTGACTGAAAGAGAATGGAACAAGAAGGCTTTGCAGGTCAGGGGTGGAAGCTCACAATACTGAGTGAGGGGATACATACGTGGGAAGCTTAATATCATGACAGAAACTCTTGCACCCTAGACGGCAAACCTGAGAGTTTCCAACAGAAGAATTTGGATGGGGGACTGACCCATTTTAAAAGGCCATGGAATGGACATGGGATGGGCAGTCACCGCAATTCGTCTCTGCTCTTTTCTTCTCAGACCGATTTCAATGAGCTGGACCTGGAGACTCTGGCACCCTACATCCCAATGGATGGGGAAGACTTCCAGCTAAGCCCAATCTGCCCAGAGGAGCCACACATGCCAGAGAGCCCCCAGCCCAATGCCCAGCACTGCTTCAGTACCATGACAAGCATCTTCCAGCCACTAGCCCCGGGGGCCGCCCACAGCCCCTTCTTCCCGGACAAGTACCCACAGCAGCTAGAGAGCAGGAAGACGGAGCCTGAGCACTGGCCTATGTCTTCCATCTTCTTTGACCCTGGGGACAAAGGGTCCCTGCCACCATGTTGTGGCCAGGCCAGCACTCCTCTCTCTTCTATGGGAGGCAGATCCAACACTCAGTGGCCTCCAGACCCACCATTACAGTTTGGGCCCTCCAAGTGGCCTGCTGACGATCAGAACGCCGAGGCCCTGGGGGCTCTGCCATTGGGGCCATCACAGCTGGAGCCTCCCAACACTTCACCCCACGTCTCCATGTTCAAGATGAGGTCAGTGACAGATGCCTTACTGGGCAGGGAGAAGACATAGGTACAGTCCCCTAGTGGGTGCTCTGGAGCCGCCCATGGGCTTCCTACCCCACCGTATCCCCTCACTCTGCAGCAGCCGTCGCTCTGTCTACCTAGTTAGGGGACTGGCATTGAAGGGCAAAACCCCAGGAGAAAGGAGGAAGGGCTTCCAACCTGGTGTCTATCTTTACATCACCCCAAGGGAACTTTACTTACCTAGGGTTCATCTTTGGGCACAAACAGGTATTTGAGTGACAGTTTCTCCATTCTCTCCACACTCCTGTGCTTTCTACCCAAGAGCCTCTACGGGGTACATGCAGGTGCTGCGGGGTACATGCAGGTTCCCTATCTCACCACACCAGGTGCTCACTGGACTAAGTCCCAGAAGCCAAGGTGTGTTATCTGTAGTGTGTGCCCTTTGTAATTAAGTGCCCCAAACAGTCCTCTGGGTGGGAGGCACTGGGCAGAAATCCTTGTAGAGACTGATGTCACCCAGCAGGACAGACACCCAGAAGGGCAGAACTGCCTGAGAGTAGCTGAGGTAAAATAAGTGCGTGGAAGGAGGTACGGGTGACTGCAGGCTTTGGCATCTCACCAGGTAGAGGAGCAGAAGGCAGGCACGGCTGGTCAGGTCCTCTGGCACTCTGCATTCTGGGTCCACAAAGCACCTTTATCATAAGTGTTGGGTCCAGGTGAAGACAGCAGGTGGGAGACCATGACCCTCTCACACCTACTCCTACTCCTACTCCCTCTTCTTGGCAGATCTGCAAAGGACTTCGGGGCTCGCGGCCCCTACATGATGAGCCCAGCCATGATAGCCCTCTCCAACAAGCTGAAGCTGAAGCGCCAGTTGGAGTATGAGGAGCAAGGCTTCCAAGACACAAGTGGGGTAAGCCACCTCTTCACTGTGAATACCGTGGGCACCTCAGCCCGCTGGGCAGGAGGTGAGGCTAAGACAAAGATGCAGACAGCTCCTTCCGGTGGTGAGCACCCTCCTGTGTCTGCACCAACTGGGTCTGTGTGGTGCCCCCACCCCACTCCACCCCTGCCCCTCTTCCTCCAGCTACACTTCACATCCACAGGGGGACCCTCCGGGCGCCAGCAGCAGTTCCCATCTGATGTGGAAACGTATGAAGAGCCTCATGGGGAGGACCTGTCCTCTGATGCCTGACAAGACCATCAGTACAAATGTGGCCCCTGGTAAGCAGGCCTGAACCAGGGGTCTGGTGGAGGGTTGGAGGCTCAGGGCCCGTTCCCTGAGTCTTGTTAGATGGGCTATGCTCATGCCATGAGCGGGACTCCAGGTTCTAAGGTCTCTCCGTGATCTCTGAGAAGAAAAAGAAGGCCACTCTCACTCTCTGCTTGGATCTTCCAGATGAATTCACCCAAAACTCCATGAGAGGTCTGGGCCAGCCACTGAGACACCTGCCACCCCCACAACCACCATCTGCCATGAGCCCAGGAGAAAATCCCAAGAGTGGGTTCCCGCCACAGTGCTATGCCTCGCAGTTCCAGGACTTCCGTCCTCCAGGAGCCCCAAAGGTGTCAGGTGAGTGTTTGAGACTCACACCACACCCAGGGGCTGATGCACTCAGGTGGCCCAGATGGACAGGAAGCTGGGAAGCAGCCACTCACGTAGCAGCTCGGCATTTGGACGACAGGCCGTGTTCAAGTCTCAGACAACTGGTTACAGTACTCAGGGCTTTTCACCCAGTCAGGCTGCATGAGCTTGGGTTAGCCAGGACCTGCATGGTATCAGGCCAGGGTCTGACGGTGACTTGTTCAAAGAGCCCCTTGCAGACACCCTCAGTGAGGACCTGAACTGAGGGACGGGAGAAGGAGAAAGGGCTCTCTGGCCCCAGAGAGAGGGCAGAGCTACAGCCACTTCTGACTAATTCAGGCCGGGGAGGCTTTGGAAAGGAGGTGGTGAAGGGCCCAGGGCTGGGATGGACTTCTGAGAAGACAGCTGGTGTGGGATGGGCCATGCAGACAAGCTGGCTGCTTTGGGAAGGTGGGATGGGTCATGCAGACAAGCTGGCTGCCGTGGGAAGTGGGTAGCAAGGCTCTGTGTCTACGAATCCTCCAGTAATTCAGTCACTTGCAGGCTCTGGGCACCGTAAGACCAGAAGTCTCTGTCTTTCCTTAGCTCCTCCTGGCCTGAAGTGCGCACACACAGCACTCTGGGGCATCTCTCTAGAAGCATGCGCAGGTCCCACTGACAAGAGGGTGGCTTGGGAATAATCTGGAAAGTTCAGCTGTTGCCACCAAACAGATATGTTCCCACAGAAGCCTCTGTTTGTCACAGTTTGTGGTCTTGGGGGAGGGGGTGAAAATCCCAGAGTCTTGTCTACAGTAGTATAGTTGGGGGACATTTATAGGTGTGTTCTCAGTCTGTGGAACCCCAAAAGCCCTGGGCAGCAGGTGGGCTGGCAAACCCGAAGGTTTAAAGGAGAGAACCATGCGTCGCTCACCCCCTGGTATACATCTGGTCAGCAGCAGCCAGCAAATGACCAGTTTCCCCAGTGGTTAAAACCGAAGCCAAAATCATTTCAATTTAGAGCATTTTCTGACCATGACTGAAAGAAGAGGTGAAATTAACAAGGGGTGGGGTATCTGTTCATAGGTGTGCAGGCAAGAAGGGGAAGCAGGTGGACCCCAGGAGGGAGAGGTCCCCAGGATATGGCTCTGTACCTAAGCTATGAGACCCCTGTTGCCGCTTCTACCTGCCTTGGATCTCAGCACTGCTGAGACATGCTCTCTTCTCTGAATGGGAAGTGGAGCCCAGGGCAAGAGGGCTGTGGCACCTGAAGTTCCTGGCCTGGCAGCCGGAGATGTCAGTCTTTCCACGAGTGCCCTTGTCCTGATTGTCTACAGTGGAGTAGGAACTGTGTCAGGGCTTGGGTCAGGCTTTTAAAACTGCCTCCCCTCCCCTTCTCATAGGCATGGCGAGCCGACTGCTGGGGCCATCGCTCGAGCCTTACCTGTTGCCGGAACTGACCAGATATGACTGTGAGGTGAACGTCCCTGTGCCGGGAAGTTCCACACTCCTGCAGGGGAGAGACCTTCTCAGAGCCCTGGATCAAGCCACCTGAGCCAGGGCCTTCGGCCGGGCATGCTCCTGCCCGGCCATCCTGTCCTGCCAGCTTTACCTTCCGTCTGTGTTGCAACTAGGTATATCTAACACCAGCACACTTCTTAAGAGATGTACTGACCGGGCCGGTCTGCCCAGGTCACCAAGCAGTGGCCTTTATCTGACATGCTCACTTGATTATCTGTGTTTTAAAAATACATAGTTGTTTTACCGTCGATGAAAATGTTCTGAAATTTTATATGATTTCCCCCTCCCTCCCTTGAGTTATTTCTAATTTATATTCCCCAAAGGTTTCTCTCTCACACTCAGTATCCCTACTAACAGTCATGGTGGATGTTGGCTCTCCTGCTAGGGAAAGCTTTGGCTCCGTTCAGCGGAAGTGTGTTTGTCATTGTTGCCAAAGAGAAGAGTTTTCCTTTCCGAGCCCCACTATGGATTCTCTCTGTCTCCTCTTGTTCTATCTCTCTCTCTCTCTCTCTCTCTCTCTCTCTCTCTCTCTCTCTCTCTCTCTCTCTCACACACACACACACACACACACACACACAAAATCACCATATTGTAAAAAGTCAGTTCTTTGCTCTGATTTTGATCTGACTTGCGGGGCAGGAAAGCAATGTGAAGGGTAAACTCCAGGGTTACCTGTGAAGCTACACGGTGGCCTTCCTGAACCATGGTGTCTCCCATCTCACCCCAGGTTCAGTGGATTTTTACTATTATTATTACTCAAAAGCAAAACTGAGGTTTTTTTTTTTAAGGAAAATTTATATCTGGGTTTAGTGTTTATCATATATATGGGTACTTTTAATATCTAAAAACTTAGAAATGGATTCCTGCTCACAAAATCACTTTTAAGATCTCATTAGGGCTGTTCTTATTATTCTTCTCAGTGTTCTGCACACTGTAGAACTGTATAGTACTCCCACAGGCCTGTACTAACACTGCTACGGATCCCCTGCCCCACCTCTCTCTCTAGTGACCTTTTGCTTTGGCCTGTTGCTATGCCATAGATGTGGCAAACAATCCCGGGAGTGGAGTCACTAAGGGGGAGCAGGCAAGCCCTCTTCTCTCCTCTTGTTCGCTGTGCATTATGTACGTATGCATTGTCATTGCTGCCACGGGGGCTCTGATGGCACATGGGGGATGGGCAGGAAGTGCTTTCACTTTTTTCAGGTGGTGTTGCTAGCCCTTCAAGTGCACTGAGCTACGCGCTACGCGACTCTACCTGTCTCTCTCATGCGGCACATTTGGGTATTTCCACCGCTACCATGAAATGGTTTGAATGGGAATTCACAAAGCAAGTAGGGATTCACAAATAATATAGTGACCCAGTCCCTGGAGAGCTAAACTGGGAGATGGTGCCAGGTCTGACCAGCCCTGCACAGCGCCACAGCCCACAGCTTGCAGGGCAGCCGGTCCTGCAAAGCCAAGGTGCAGCGCCCCCTGCTGGTGAACAGCAGGCAGACCTCCAGGGATAGCCTCTAGCTGAGGTCTCAGTCACATGAAGTGACATGAATAGGTAGGAAGCACTGAAAATACTGGTCCCAGAGCACTTTGTAACTCACTGGGGAGGAGGTAGGCCACCTTTTGGGTGTGTGATACCAATTGACTTACAATGTTGTTGACTTGGGTACAATAAAACTTTAAATACATACAAAGTCTATCAGGCCAAAATGCAGTAAGCCTAAAGGGGCTTACTGCTCCAACCAAAAATTAACTTTCAAAGTCAGCCTAGCTAAAAGTATCTAGGCACGGTGTTGTCCAAGTCACACATTGGTCTACGGTGTGGCCTGACACGCGGTGAGAGAACGTAAAGGGTTATTGACATGTAAATGCTGGTATTTGATTTCCTGTGTTGTTGCCTCAGCATTAAGGGCATTTTCCCTTTGCAGTTTTACTAAAAAACAAAAACAAAAAACACTGAGAAATATTCCAAGCTTCACATTAACCTTTCTTGTCAATGTAACAACTTCGAACATTACTGCATTGTCAAATTCCTACTGACGGCATTGTAACTGTCCGGGAGCTTAACTTTATAAGGAAATGTATTTTGACACTGATATCTTATTAAAGTATTCTGATCCTATTCCTGCTGGTGCCTCTCATTTCCTCTGCATTTATCATGGCCTGTGCCAACGGAAAATAAAGTCCTTACCCAATGGCATACAGAAAATGAGCCCTGGAACCAAACTGGACCAGATGGTTAAGACCAAACTGACAAGAAGTCTGAAGAAGGAATGAAGACGTCTGTACCTGGCTAGTGCCTAAGTTCAGAGGTCGTTCTCTGTCGTCTGTATGTCTGCAGATACGGTGTACCATATGACTACCTAAGAGCCCTTTTCTCTGTAAGCTGGAAAAGAAGGGAAGAAACCATGGTTTCTGCCTTCCGAAATCCACATGAGATACTCAGGAGCTTGCTGGTCCTTGTGTCCTCATGCTGTCCATGCAGAAGTTCCCAGGAGGAGGGCCAAGGTCAAGGAGGAGTTTAGTGTAATAGTTTAAGTAAAATGCCACGAATGCGTGAGTGGCTGCAGAGGGCAGCAGGTCCTGCGACTATGACAGGCCACGAAGGCAGCCAGTCCTGGGCAGGAGCCCACTAGGGGCAGTAAGGCCCCAGCAGGGAGTCACGTGGCTGGTGAGAGACCGAGAGCAAGCAAGTGCCAGGCAGGGAGCCGCATGGTGGGTGATGGTGCTGTTCCCCAAGTGGGTCCTGAGACCATGCCTCAGGTCCCTGAAGGCAGTTAGTCCTGGGCAGGGAGCCATGCGGTGGGTGAGAGACAGAGACATGGATAGACATGCCATGCCGAATGAGGTTGGATATTAATTTAGTGGGTTATGGAAGGGAAGAGGAGGGGGGGGGAAGGGGAGAGGGGGGATGGGGAGAAGTGGGAGAGAATGGAGTTGTCTCTTCTAGACAGGGAGGGGGTGGGCGTGGCTTGTCTCTTAAAGGGACAGGACAGACCATTACTTTTAAGGTGGGGTCAAGGTCTTCCTAGGTAGATTGCAGGTTGAGAAAAAGACTTCAACCAGAGACAGAACACAGCAGAAGGCCAGCACTAGGCATGGACCTGATGGGCTCCCTATTCTCTGTCAAAGTCCCTCTTCTGGGGATCAAACAGGCATCTTTCTAGGGTGATACAGGGAGGAGAGGAGGCCAGCAGCATCCCTATTTGTATAGACAGCCCCATGACCAGCCATCCCAACATTCCCTGTACACCTGATATTTGGATTCATTGTTACCTTGTTAGCTTCCATCCGCCTAGAAGATGCTGTGTGTACACATCTGCCAGATGAGACCAGAACTCAGTGACTTTCACACGTCCCAGGTCATTTCTAAGAGACATACAGCTCATATCTAGTGTTGCCCTCCTTTGGCCCCAAAGCTAGCCATGAGATAGATCTTCTGCAAAAAGTCCTGTCTGAGCTGGAGAGCCGGCTCCGTGACTAAGAGCACTCACATTTGCAGGAAACACCTGTGTGACAGCTCACAACTATCTGTGATTCCAGTCCCAGGGGACCTGATGCCCACTTCTGACCTCCACAGGTACCCGATATGCACATGGTGCACATACATAAATGCAAGCAATACACATGCCACACTCCAGTCAGTCTTACTTTAATGCTGAGGCTTCTGGAGATTTTGCTTCTGGTCCCTGTCAGCTGATCGCACCACATTGGGCTGCCATTTGTCGGGGACCAGCCTCAACAAAAATACCTTTCTCCAGGGTAAAGGTGATTTAGAAATATAGTAAAGAATATGAAGACACAAATGAACATAATAAAATGGAAAAACATATAGGATAGTATCAGGAGGGAATTCCAGTGAGTACTAAAAATTCACCTGTGTTTAATTTCCAGCTGCTTAAAATACCCTGACCCCAAAAGGTAGGAGTAAGATAAAAGACTGCATTAACATGATACAAGGAAATGAACATACCAATTGAAGGTAGTGGCAGAAGCACAATAACCTTGAAGAAACTAGAGGAAAGTTCCAACTCTCTGACCTCTGGTCAACGTGAAAACAGGCTCACATTTTCTGGCCTCCACAAGTCCCCTTGGTGTCTGGACATTGAGGGAACCAAGCAGAGAGGGCCATTGTCAGAAGAAAGGCGATTTCACACATATTAACCGCAGGATATTTATTCTAAAGAAGTGGAAATACTAAGTCCATGCGAATTCTGCACACAGATGTCTAAGCACCATTCTTCATAATCACCAAGTAAAACAACCTGACACTTTGACAGAGCACATGCAGGTCTAGGACACAGCCGCACGCTGGAATGGATGCACTGGGAACTAAGGAGGCACATGCAAGACTCAAGCAGCAGCATGGGGAACCCCAAAGGTTAAGCACAGGGAATGGAGACGGTCAGAACAGGGCATTTCACTGCATTCCATGTGTGTCTCACTCTGATGGGCAAAAAAGAAAAAAAAAGAAAAAGAAATGGAAAACAGGTCTTTGCCAGCAAATGGGTGAAGGAACAGTTTGAATTTAAAGGGACACTGTGAGAAAGTTCATTGATATGTTGGAATTATTCTATGTACTCTCTATAATGATTGTGATGATTTATGTACACACACACCCCAGAAGGGGATTTTATAATGCGTGAACCTGTTATAAGCCACCTTTGTAGGGGTGACTTCTGTCGGGCTCCTAGCTGTGGCAGGTTTGAGTGTTCCAGTGTAGGAGTGTGAGGATTAGAATTATTAGGCAAAAGGAACACAGATATAGGAGAAACAAGAGACAAAGACATAGGATAGTATTGGGAGGGACATCCAGAGAATACTGAAGATCACCCACATTTAATTTCCATTTGCTTAGCTACCCCGACCCCAAAAGGATTAAGACCACATGATTCAAGGAATGAACGGACCCACTGAAGGATTACGGGTTACATTCTTAGTTAAATATTCTGTTGCCAGAACAAGGTAAGTAACACTCACATCCTAGACCACAACATTCTGTAGGCAAACCACTCCCTGGGTGGAATCCATTGTTATCTCCCTAAGAGAGTAGGAACCTAGTTGGATCCTTAGACTTTTGTTTGAGGTAAAAACAGATCTACTTCTTCAATACCTGAAATACCAGGTCTGGCTATTAGCCACACCTGTTGACAATAACCTTGAGAGAGCTTTTTGAACTGTTGACAATAACCTTGAAGGAAAGGAGTAAGTTCCAATTCTCTGACCTTTAGTCAAGGTAGGAAGGACCCATACCTGTGGACCCTGTCATGAACTTAAAAACAAGATCAAGATTTGAAGTTTCAGAAGTGGCTGAAATAAATGGAGGAGAAGGGTCTGAGGGAGGCTTGAGGGTGCAGGAGACAGTAGAGGTCTGGGGCAGGAGGGGGAGGGGAGAAGAACCAGGGAGGGAGGGTAGAGATCCTAACTGGAGGCCAGGGTCAACAGCTCTGAGAAGAAACCAGTGGGAAGGAGGAGGAGAAGGGATTCGGAAGCAGATGGAGCTTCTGAGACTACAGTGCAAAAACCTGGAGAGTGGAGGGGATGGGGAGGGGTAGCAACTGTGGACATGGGGACGAGGACCAAGTGGTGACTGGTGGCCTGGAAGGCTTGGTCTGTACTGACTTCTGAGATAAAGAGATGTGAGGAACATTGTGAATCACTGTGATCCCACAGAGGCTCAAGTCCGGGGCAGACCTCTCCTGAAGCCTGAAAGGGCCAGCATGGCAGAGAGCTTCAGAGGCTTCCTGTGACTCTGCGGAAATTTCTGTGGGGCTCAGCCATGGTAAGCTAAGTATGGGCAGGTCACCCAAAGGAAGTTCTTTACTTACAACCATTATTATCTGCCAGAGTAAAACTCTGGCCATCAATGAATTTAAATGGAGGCCTGAGTCTCAGTAGTTTACCCTGAGGCAATGCCTGGTTGCAGGAGGAACCACAAACTGAGATTACCTGACCTCCACCCAAGAACAGACCATTCAAAGGAAATGCCTGGCATTCCAACCACTGTAGATAGGAACGTGTGCCAGAACACACTCAACAGGACACCCCTAGACATGTCAGCCAATCAGGGGTCTTAAAAACCTCAGAAACCCCCACCTTTACTACTATAAAACCCTATTCTCATTGAGCTCGGGGTTCTCTGTCTATTCCAATATGTTGAACATGCAGAGAGACCAAGTTTGCAAACTTGATTAAAATAAAGGCTCTTTGTTTTTACCTACGGGACTTGTTCTCCTTGTTGGCTTTCGTGGGGACTTTGCAGATTTGGGCATAACAATTTCCATGCCTTCTTCATGTCCTATAGTATGTAGGAGCCATCACACATGTGCACTGTGAACACATGGTGTTTGTGTTTACCCTGTTTTCTAGAAGCAAAGGGAAGAGTTGCCAAGGTAACTGGCTCCCTGTCTGTCTGATCTGGGCTTTGACCCCTATGAGGCGGCCCAGTGTGTGAACAAAGAGAAAGAGAACACAGTTGCAGCTTGGAGCCCCATCTGACTCCAGACAAAGGACACTTCCCCAAGCCTCATTAGCCCGGGTGAGGCCAGGGCAGCTGAGCGTGAGCATTGATGGTGATGCAGGAGCCTCACGAAGCGCTGAGGCAGGACTCCAGCATTCAACTCTAGGTGGTGAGGATGATTCAGATTGGGGCGGGTTGGCAGAAGCCAGTTTGGGAATGCCAAAACCCTATGTTCATTCCTGCCATTTAAATCCCGGAGCACCGACTGCAGCAGCCAAGGTGGCTTCTGGCTGAGGGTGACTCCAATGGAGCACTCAGAACCACTCTGGGCTGAGCCCAGGTCCTGAACTAGTTCTGGGCACCTTCTATCTAAGTGGGAGGAAATTACAGTGCTGGCAAGAGACCAGGGCTTGTTTATTTAATAATAATAACGTGACCCTGTCCTCCACTAATGAAAAAATAGGGCTAAACCAAAAGGAATTGGCAATCCTACAGTAGCCACCTCTACATACTCTCTCTCTCTCTCTCTCTCTCTCTCTCTCTCTCTCTCTCCCTCTCTCTCTCTTCTGTACTTCAACAGAGATATAGAAAAAACAAGAATGACCAAAATGGCAAAGGGGTCTCAACTATGTCACTAAAATTAATTAAAATCAATGAGAAAG